GCAGAGGTTTTTCATGCATCTTCCTTGAACGGTGCCATGGGCCCGTGAACCACTATTAATGCTTCGTAAATAAACATAACAAGCTACAAGTTTATTCGTTTCGAAACTGTCTATGTGTGGATCTGTTTTGGTGGTCTTCTTGATCTGGTGCATAAGCAACGTTAAAGCTTGGTATCAGAAAGCGGTTTATGTGCAGACTGGTTTGATCTCTATAGTTGTTTTGATAGTTTTGTTTGTTTAGACCAAAACGTCTTTATTTGTACTATCACAATGGGGTTTTAGTTGCGCTCTAAAGGGTTTTAGTGCACAAGACCACCACACTAACCTAATTTAACCTAACTTAACATCTTCTGGGTTTCAAGTTACTGGATAAGAGAGATCATCATTGTTCTGATGTGAAATATAACTAATCGAACAATACTTCTGTTTTTACTTCAGTAATGCACTTTCGAATAGTTCTTTATTCGAAATTACTTTACGCCATCATATTTGGAAAATATTTCGCAGATATTATACATACATATATGCTAATGTATATTATATTATCTTATACGTCTTATACATATTATAGATAGTATACATATTATACATACATTACAAATAGTACACAATTATACATTGTGACCGAAAGGTTTTCGGAGGTTCTCATTTAAAATTCGCGCGCTGTATATTTTTCGATATTTTAAGTTTATGTAGTTTGGCAGCACTGTCCTTAATTACTATGCCAAAAATGAGCGCGATCTGTCAGACAGTTCGTTTACGGCAGCTGTTGAAACCAGTTCACCTCAGTAGTGCGTTGCGAAAAAAACAATGGAAAAAAATATTGAACAAAGAGTTTGCATCAAATTTTGTGTTTCGAACGAAATTTCGTGTGCAGAATCGTTGCGAATGCTACAAAAGGCTTATGGGGAATCAGTTTTATCGAAAACTCAAGTTTATGAGTGGTACAAAGCCTTTCAGGACTGTCGTACGACCGTCGAAGACATGCCGCGTTCTGGACGACCTTCGACCTCTACCACCGACGAAAACATTGAAAAGGCAAAGGAAATCGTGTTCAAAAATCCTCATGTGAGTGTTAGAGAGATAGCACGAGAGCTAGGCATCGGTCGTGAGATGGCTCGTTTGATTTTGGTGGACAATTTGTGTATGCGACGTGTCAACGCCCGGCTTGTTCCGATTCACCTCAATTTGTTCAACATTATCAACGATTTTAAGGCCAAACATTCAATAAATACCATCGAACAGCCACCGTATTCACCTGATCTTGCACCGTGTGACTTTTTCCTGTTTCCCAACCTCAAATTACCACTCAGAGGAACGCGTTTTGAATCCATAGAAGACGTAAAACAGAATTCGCAGAGGGAACTCAAAGCCATACCGGAAAGCGCCTATAAAAAATGTTTTGATGATTGGAAGAAACGTTTGCATTTGTGTATCGCTTCTAATGGAGCATATTTTGAAGGAGATAAAATAAATATTGATGAAGATTAAGAATTTTGCGTTTTATTTATTTATGACCGGAAACTTTTCGGTCACAATGTATACTACTGATCACTATTTGAAACAGTTAAATAGGAATTGAGCTTTTCTAATTTCACCAGCCAAATATAGGGTGATATTGTTTACATACTCCAAATCTTAAACTTTTGGCTTAATTAACAGAAACTAATATAACAATATATATAATATAGTATCGGCTACCACGGTATATTGAACTGAGGGATGACATAGAGCTAGTAACAAAACTATATAGTATTCTCCAACGCTAAGAGACATCAGATACATGTAAAACTACTGTGCCACTAACTAGGCTTATGCAACTTCAAGCTTAACTATATGGACGATTCTTTAAGTTGCTCGACAACATTCACAACATCAAATACTGACGATCATGAATGTGATCAGCTCACTACGTAATACCAAATCCTTTTCCTAAATAACTTAAAATATATAATCGGTTTTTTAGGTAATTTATATGTATTCCAACTTTTGTTAGTTAAATGATCAATAAATTGAAAAGAAAACAAAATACCTCTCTAGATATTGTCTCCGAACGGTTTTACGAGATTGGAAATATGATTTGTGAGTATTGATTAGCAAAGCCAATAAAGTCTGCTCAGCACTATTATGGGTCCATTGACCCATACTATACTGCAATCATTTGAAATATTCTTAAATGATGTTTAATTTCTAAAATATTTATCTCGATCTTATATAAATAAATAGCTTTATGAAATCTAAACTCACTATTACGTACCAAAATTTTTTATTACTATATATAAATAACTTCTAATCTGTTTTTATGGTTATTAAATAGTTCCACAATTGGTTTTAGTTGATAAGCAAAATATTGAGTTACTTTTCCATATAACGATAATATATAATTGCACTGCATTTTTACAATATTTTATACATATATAAGATCCATATAATGCAAAAAAAATATAAATATTTATAAGCAGTTCTTTAATGTTTACTACATAATGATGGTATATAAAATTGCAAGTTTAATCATCAATCGCTTCATAAGATTTTACTAATTATTCATATACCACACTTTCTGATATTTTGTTTATGCAGTTGTTTCCGAAGTTTAGTTTTATTTCAAACCATTTAGTCTCCTTATCCTAATCATAACAGAAAGACATATAACAGATTTATTTAAACAAACAAAAATGACTAAATAGACTTGTGTTGTCATGCTGATCTGTGATCAGAAATACATACGATTTCCAACGTCTCCTTGAATTCATAACAAATAACTCAACAAATGGTTTTAAACTATTTTTTTAAGTTTTATATGAAATAATAGCCCATAAGGTCTAAGGTAAACACTACGATATCCGTTACAACCTAACTCTATATAATATACCGTTTATTTATAAGCTTGTTGTTGTTGTGAATTGAGTTAGTGCTATTGCGCACTTTTACTCTATTGTGGCTGGGGGGCTTATCCCTGCCCCACACTAAACTTTAACTATACTAGAATCATTATCATTTATTTATTTCCTAACTGATGACGGACCGTATATTAGTATATCTTCCTGAGCGTCCTGAGGTGGACTTAAGGTTTGTTAGAGCGGGGTTGGGCAACGTATCAACTTTTGTGAATAATTTTAGGGCTCTGTCCTTGATATACTTTTTCATTGGGTCGATTCTTAGATCTCTATGCATGTCTGTTGTTCTAATATATCAAGGCATCTTAATTAGTCTTCTTAAAGCCAGATTTTGTGCTATCTGTAATTTATAGATTACTGCTTTATAGCAGTATTTGAGAAGTATAAAAAAAACTAATTGATATTTTTTTAACATTAATACAAAAACTTGACATTGGTAGTATTTAAATGAAAAAAAGTAAATAAACTATATTTGAAGTGGGGTCTTAGTCCCAAATCAAATAGGTAAAATTAAGCCCTCAGCAATTATGAGATGTATAAATAGTTTAGAATTATTTTAATTGGGCTTTTAGGTGCACAATAGATCTTTTAGATCGGGATGCATTCATAGCCTATTATTTATTAATAATATTGATATATTTTTAAGCAAAATATTAGTACCACTACTTGTAAAGCACATACAACTCGCACTAAATTTTGGTTTGAGAATTATTGCTATGTTGTTATTGTAACCCACAGGGATCTGTATGGGTACTACCTTTTGAGTATAGCGAAAGTTACTTGACTGTTAACAAATGGCTCAGGACTGGTCTTGCGACAATTGCTTTAGAAAATTTCATTGACGCTATAAGTGAAGTGCTAACTTATAGGTAGATATAGGTAGATCAATCCAAAGCACTACAAAAATTATTTGAAATGTTAAAGCCACTTTCGCGTTCTATGGAATTTTGATACTTCTACACTTTATAAATAAAATTGAATTATTTTAATGAGATGGAGGTTGATAAAATCTGTGTGTAATTGCAAATCGTTGTATTTGGCCTATAAATACGCCTATAAAAGTGAAATTAGAATGTATAGAATTTTCTAAAATCCATAAATTTTCCATCTAATACACTTAAACGAAATACTTGAAATATTCCAGAAAATTCTTTACCGTTGCTACTCACCAATATTTACATGTATCTATAAGTACATATATCGTATATGTATATGTATGGTAAGTACACTTAACTATTACAGAATAGTTAAGTTAACTGCCTATTTAAATTGTTGCTACGCATTACAAACACAATAAAGTGCCATAAAAAAATAACAAGTTTCTTTGTCGTGTAATATTTTAATTTTAGTCTTATTTGTTACTTATTACAAAATGAATATTTACAAACATAGACAGACTTTCGCACAACTTAATTAAATTAAAATGTTACTTATAAATAATCAATGTTCGTACGCTTACCTTAATTTTACAATTCAGTGACCTTTTTACAAAACATTTAATGCACTTAGCAAAATACAGAAAACGAATAAAAGTACAAAAATATTACAAGCATAAAAATATTTGGAATATCTTGTTAGTTACATTATATCGCCTGCCTTTTATTTTTTATTATTATATTTATTTAATGTTTTGAGTTTTGTTTCATGAAATTTTTGGCGTTTTTATCAAATTTATTTTTAATTTCTTTTTTTTTTCGTTTCGATAAGCGAAGTAATGGAAATTCTGCAACTGATATGGCATTAAATTATTTACGATTTTTTGTTTTTCTTTGCGTTATTCAACTCATAAAATCACTTAAAATAATAAAAAATTTTTATAATAATTGTTTCTCTTTCGTTAAAGGCACTTAAATAATTACATATTTATTATTAGTATTTAATGACTTTATAGGATAGATTATCTTAAGTCTATATATCGATCATTTCAAAAGCGAATTATTTAAATTTAAATTTTAAGTCGGTTTATGCAAAACAATTAATTACTTTTAAACGCAATACAACAATTTCCATAAACAAATATTTGGTTTTAAGAATAATTTACGTACATTCGCTAAGCTAAATTGTATATTAATAAACGTTAAAGTCTAAATTTAAATAATTAATAAATATATAATAATATCCTTTAAAAATATATGTAACCAATATCGTATAATATACAATTGTATATAAGTGTATTTACACAGCGCATGCACTCAGCCTTAGTTGCTCATTTGTAGGCCTCCACTGCTGCGGCTGCCCGTTGATGAAGATGTGCTCAAACCTAATTGCGAGACTAGTTTGTCGTAATCCTCTAATGATGTTTCGAATTGTTCCAGTTGTCGCGATAAATCATCCACAGCTGCTGCCTCGGCGCTAGTAGTCGTTGCTGCAGCCGCAGCGGCAGCACAACCACCCATGTCTGGCTGTATTTCATTCAGTCCGCGTAGTGGTGGCGCATGATAACAGTCACGATAGAACTTCGCCAAATCATTTACATGAGAGTTTGGTGATGCGAATGGAAAGTTGAGTTCCTTTAGCAAACTGTCATCGTCCATGGCATGCGTGTTTGATAAAAGTGGCGCTGATTGATGTCTTGTAGCTGGTGGTGCGGGTATAAGTAAACTTTTAACGGGTGACTGTGATAAATTTTTACACTCTGCTGTTGTTTTTTGAGTATTTTCATCTTTTTCGAAACTTTTAAACGTAGCCACATTATTATTATTATTATTTATGTTTACATTTTTACTATTGACTTTTTCGCCGCTGTTGTTGTTATTATTATTGGAAATGAGATTTTGGTGTCCATTTGTTGTGGGCGAGGTAGCAATTGGATCGCTTTTACGATTAAGCGACTCTATTGAACCATATTCACCATTGCTTCCACCACTTTCACAACGTGTGCGCCGCAGCAGCCATTCGAAGGGTGGTGTTTCAGGCAACACATAATCATCTTCTGTGTACTGGCGTAACTTGCCAAGGTCAGTAAAGGCACCAGGTCGTAGCGGTTTCTCAATATCAATTACTTTTCGGTCTGCTGCACCACCACCGCTGCCTTTTTTGCCTGCCAACATTGGAGGCGTAGGTGAAGCGTCTGCTGGTCGAAAATGATCTGATTTTACCATAATTGTATTCCCATCACCATTTCGAGTTTGTGCCGCCGTTGGAGTAATTGTCATTTTTACGCGATACGCCACTGACATCGTTAGTGCGCCCACAATTGTATTCATTTGTCCGATACGTACACTTTTGTAGCCTTCACCCAGTGTATGTACCTTTGGTTTGTCCACGTAAATACGATAGTAAATGCCATACGAATCTGCGCATTGCCTACGCGAAAGTTTGTAGGCAGGCGTGGCGCGGGTTAACGAGATTAAAGATTTCAAAAGTATGCTCATTTTGTTATAAATTGCATGTGCTGCTTTCAATGTTTGTTGTTCTGAATTTGTTGTTGCACCACCTTTTGTATCATTTCTGTCTTTAAGGCCAGTTGTTTGCAAATCAATTGTCCATACTTCTAAGACCATTTGATCGCCTTCTACTGTTTTTAAAGAGATTTCTATACATAATGGTAAACGTTTGATAATACTTTCGCCTGGGCCCAGCCCAAGCGCATTTTTCGCTTCCGCATAAACATCTGGATGATCTTGTATAACAATATTGAACCAGTCAGTACCAGTGGCTAGCGGATTACATTGCGTTTGAATTTTTTCACCGAGACGTGATTGCACGACCACTTGCGTCGATTTTAACACTAAAAACTTTATAAACTTTTCTAAGTCTTTTTCTGGCGCATTCATTTTTTGCGATGACATTTTAACAATTTTTCACTTTCTTATAATAATTGGTCTAAATTTCTATTATTATAATTAGTTTATTTTACTGTTCAAAGTACATTTAACAATCTTTATTTTTTCTTTGATTTTACACTTCCGCGAATTTCATGGAATTTTCCCGTCTCTCTTTTGTTTAATTTCAATTTTCTTTACTTCACACTGTATTAGCGTAACTACGTTTTATTCTTCAAAAAAAAATCGTAATTCCATACATTTTAATTCTTTCAATAAACGCATTATACTGTTTATTATCACATTAACAAATTTTGCATTTTATTTGCATTATTTCTCAATTATAATCCACTTTCGTTGTTTTTTATTAAACATAGACATAGCTTTTTCCGAATTCATAACTACTTTGATACACGTCTGTCATTTGACGACTGAAAGGAATTTATTTTAGAAAAGCGAACCAAGCGAAGAAACGAAACAGAGTTGCATTTTTTCAGCACGACGTTGGTGTAAAACCATTTAATAAATAATCTGGTCTAATTATATTTAAAAAAAGAATAATGCAAAACTACTTCTTTACAAATCAATTAGGTAAATATTTCAGTCAAAAAATAAAATTAATAATATTATATATATAAGTAATTTGATTAATTTTTCTATTCATTACTTTTAAGCAATGACAACAACCACTTTCCAAAGAGTGCAACCAACTCCTGAATAGATGCTCGACGTCACGTAGGCATTTTTTAAATGCCGCCTTTATATTACAACTTGCATAGATGCATTTTATTAATGCATTTAATTATTAAAAAAAGTATATAAAACATTTTATAAAACATTATATATATTTATATTAGAATGTCAGCATTATTAAAGCGAATTATTTAAGCGATAATTATTTAAATAATTTTTTAAGATGTATTATATATAATATATTTCATACATGCAAATATTACATTTTGTATAAAAATAAATAAAGCTAAAATTAGAAATTAAAATAATGAACTAAAAGCAATGTTCAGAATGCAGGAAATTCTGAAATTTCCTTTTACAACAAAATTAAAATTTAGAATATTTATGCCATAATAAGTTTAAACTTGTAAGTGACTTATAAGTTAAAAATTTGAAACCACTTTTCAATTATACTTTGTTCATGTACCTCTAAAAATTTTTGTATATATTTATATATACATATATAAAATATTTATTTTCTATAATTTGGATATTTCTAAAATATTTTAAATATTTGAAATTGTAAAACATTTTAATTTTGCTTTAATGTTTGTTTACAATTTTGATTGGAATATTTGTTAAAATTTCCGAAGTAAAAGTTCACAGTAGTTCGTTTATTAGGTTGGTAACATCTTTTTCTGATGTTACCACAGCAAATGATTAAATTTATTGTCTTATCTACATTAAATGCAATGTTCAAATACAAAATAATTTTGAAGTTCTTTGAATCACATAATTATAAAAATATGGAATGAAAACTAAAGAAGTCGCATGCTTGAACATTCTCACTCATTTAGGTTGATATTTATTTTTCAGACGTGTGAATATCAGTGCTTTAAATAGTTGAAAAGAATGTGGCAGCACCAAAAAATATAAATAAAAGAACTGTCAACAAGGCACAAAGGAGACAACAATAGCCGCAGTTCCCGCCAGTAGTAGTTTGGAAAAAGACAAAGCAGCACGTGAATAAAACGTAAAAACACAAATCTTAACTTTAAGAATATTTTATAATAACTAAGTATAAGAAATAAATAAACTTATCCATTACCAATACGGAGTGTTAAATTAACTTATCCATTACCAATACGGAGTGTTAAATTCGAAATAAACCCCAACCTAACAAACCACTACATTGGTGACCAAGCCGACGTCGAATATATAAAAAAAAAATGGCTACTCAAGAGCAAAAGATAACCGAAGACACTAACCCAATCAATGAAAACGCAACAATCACTGCAATAAAGCTGCCGATGCCAACATTAATAAAAAACAACATTGACCTTTGGTTTATTCAGTTGGACTACTGGTTCCAAGTCAACAACATAAAGGGCGATACTCAAAAGTTTGGCACAGTTATCGCAGCATTGGATGCATCGCTGTTAGAACAAATTTATAACACAATACAGAATCCACCAGCAACTCAGAAGTACGAAGCTATCAAGCAAGCAATAATAAAAAACTTTGCGGATAGTGAACAAAAACGCATACAAAAATTAGTTAGTGGTTTACAGCTTGGGGATAAAAAGCCATCCCATCTTTTAAACGAATTGCAACGTATTAGTGGAAGCAAACAAGACGAACAATTACTGAAAGGGTTATGGTTACAACGTCTTCCTGTAGAAGTACAGACATGTCTAGCCACAATTCAAGTGGAACTACCTAAGATGGCGGAATTGGCAGACAACATAACCGAAACAATCCGTATAAACTCAACAATGCAAGGAACTTACGTCAATGCAGCTAACGTCCCTGCAGCAGCTCATATTCAACGTGATGCACAAATCGAACAACTTCAACGAGAAGTGACCAGACTGACGAAAATGGTCTCGAAATTATCAACCGAACACCGCTCAAGAACAAATCAACGTTCACGTTCAACATCCAGAAACCGGCAATGTCATGATGATAGTGAAGAAAAGACCAGTACAAATTGTTGGTATCATAGAACATATGGGTCAAATGCAAAAAATTGCAAGCAGCCATGCACATATGGCACAAAAAACTAAAACCGACTTCGTCTACGGCGGCAGAGGAAGTTGTAAACGAAACATCTACAAGACTGTTCGTCTATGACAATAAGACAAAAAAATCATTCCTAATAGACACGGGTGCAGATGTTTCACTTATTGCCGCCAAACAAAAAAATTCAAATACAAACAATAAGAACGAAAGAATACTCTACGCAGCAAATGGTTCTATGATCAAAACATTTGGAGAAATAGAGATAACTCTAGCTCTTGGCTTACGAAGAAATTTCACATGGCCATTTATTATCGCAGATGTAAACACTTCAATCATCGGTGCAGATTTTTTAAATCATTTCGGATTAATAGTAGACATAAAAATGAAACGATTGATCGACACATCAACAAAGATTTTCTCAGCCGCAAGTGAACGTAAGGTAAATGCGCAAAAAATATCAACTGTGAACACATCTTGCAAAATTGCAGATCTACTAAAAGAATACATCGACATTACTAAACCAACACCGACAAATCGCCAGGTGACCAAAGTCACTCACCACATATTAACAAAAGGTCCACCAATATGTGAGAGACCACGTAGGTTACCTCCAGACAAGCTAGCAGCAGCAAAAGAAGAATTCCAAAACTTAGTCACAGCCGGAATATGCCGTCCATCAAGCAGCAATTGGGCTAGCCCCTTACATATGGTAAAAAAACCAGACGGTAGTTGGAGACCTTGCGGAGATTACCGTCGCTTAAATGCAATCACCATCCCAGATCGTTACCCAGTTCCTCACATACATGATTTTGCACACATGTTATATAACCAAAAAGTTTTTTCAACCATCGACCATCGAATGCAGGTCAAACATTTCAACGCTTCATTCACGAAGTATTACGAGATCTCGAATTCGCCTTTGCCTATATTGACGACGTCATTATTGCATCAGCAAACGAGGAAGAGCACAGGCAACACTTGCAACAAGTATTCGAACGATTCAGAAAACATGGTTTAATAATAAACGTATCAAAATGCGTTTTTGCTCAAAACACAGTAAAATTTCTTGGTTATCTCATCAGTGAAAAGGGCATTCAACCTCTACCAGATCGAGTGAAGAGCATCAGCGAGTACCCGCTTCCAACAAAAACAAAAGAATTAAGAAGATTTCTAGCATTACTTAACTTTTATCGCAGGTTCGTACCAAACGCTGTAGATTCTCAAACTGCACTTCAACAAATGATAAAAGGAAACAAGAAGAACGACAACACACCGTTATGCTGGACCGAAGTGAACAAAACAATCTTCCAAAAATGTAAAGATGAACTAACAAACTCGACACTACTTGTTCATCCGTCAAAAACTGCTACGCTTGCATTACAAGTAGACGCCTCGGATAAAGCTCTCGGCGCAGTTCTTCATCAAGTGACAGACAGCACGTTCCAACCACTCGGTTTTTTCTCTAAACGATTAACAGATACACAAAAACGATACAGCACATACGATCGTGAGTTGTTAGCCGCATATCAGGGCATAAAACATTTTCGACATATGTTAGAAGGTCGTGAATTCGTATTAATAACTGACCACAAGCCACTCACGTTCGCATTCCAGCAAAAGTCCGACAAGGCTTCACCACGTCAAGTCCGACAGCTTGATTATATAGGTCAATTTACAACGAATATCGTTCATGTCAGCGGAAAAGACAACATCCCAGCAGATTTTCTCTCGCGGATAGATAGTATTAGCATCCCAAAAATCGACTACGATTGTATAATTGGATTACAACGATGTTGCCCACAACTACAAGATATCAAAAACAACAATTCCATCGAAATCAAACTTTTATCTTTACCAACAATATCAGATAAAATTTATTGCGAAGTTTCAACTGGGCGAATTCGTCCTTACATTCCGCAGAAATACCGGCTACATATCTTTAAAGCTACGCATGGGTTGTCTCATCCCAGCATTCGGGGCACAACAAAAATGATAGCTGAAAAATTTTTCTGGCCTTCTATAAATGCTGATATCAGAAACTGGACCCGACAATGTATCCCATGCCAACGTTCTAAAGTGCAACGTCACAACCGTTCACCTATTTGTCAATATGAACTCGCTGAACACAGATTCGAACATATAAACATAGATATCGTCGGCCCGCTACCACCATCAAACAACTGCACATATATATTAACCATCATCGACCGTTTCAGCCGATGGCCAGAAGCAATTCCGATCCCAGATCAAACAGCGGAAACCATCGCAAACGCACTGATTACTCAATGGATCGCACGTTTTGGCGTACCCTTACGTATCACAACAGACCAAGGAAGACAATTTGAATCTTCATTGTTCAACCAACTAGCTGAAGTTATCGGTTGCAAACACTTACGAACTACGAGTTACCATCCTCAAAGTAACGGAATGGTGGAACGATTTCACCGCACATTAAAAGCAGCCTTAATGTGCCACCAAACAACTTCTTGGACAGAAGTTTTACCAATAGTATTGTTAGGTCTACGCACGACTTATAAATCAGACATTGGAGCTTCTGCTGCTGAAATGCTATATGGCCAAACTCTACGTTTACCGGGCGAAATAGTAAGCAACCCTAGCCACAGAAATATAAATCAACACGATTTCATAACCAAGCTAAGAGAACAAATGCAGAGCGTCAAGGCAACGTTGGTATCGCATCATATAGACCGAGGCTACCACATCCAACCGGCTCTAAGCTCAGCCACGCATGTATTTATACGAAATGACAAGGTAAAACCACCATTGACGCAACCATACGATGGTCCTTACCAAATACTAGAGCGAAATGACAAGACGTTTAGAATACTGATCGAAAACAAAGAACAAACAGTTAGCATAGATCGTCTTAAAGCTGCTTTCATATGTCCCGATACAGACATTGACATCCACAACAAATCAATGGTATACCACACTCCAAACAACGTTAATGGCGACCAGTCTGTGCGACCAAATACAACAGCTAACCTGACAAAATCAGGACGCAACGTTCGCTTTCCAACCAAATTCAGTGACTCCATCACTTAGGGGGGAGTACTGTGGCAGCACCAAAAAATATAATAAAAAGAACTGTCAACAAGGCACAAAGGAGACAACAATAGCCGCAGTTCCCGCCAGTAGTAGTTTGGAAAAAGACAAAGCAGCACGTGAATAAAACGTAAAAACACAAATCTTAACTTTAAGAATATTTTATAATAACTAAGTATAAGAAATAAATAAACTTATCCATTACCAATACGGAGTGTTAAATTAACTTATCCATTACCAATACGGAGTGTTAAATTCGAAATAAACCCCAACATAAAAAACCACTACAAGAATATTGAATATGTATTATATTAATGTATTATATGTTGTTATCGTAACTGTTTTATATATTCTAAATATTTTTCATACAACTATTCAAGCAAAAAATTTTTTGTGCAATAAAAGTTTGTCAAATTTGGGGTTTGTGTATAAAACTAAACAATAAAGGTTTATATTATCATAAATATGGCATCACTGATTACAAATGTCAATTCATTCCGTTTTCAATATTTTCTAATCAAAACAAATACAGCGCTAATTTTAATAACTCGTTTAAATAAAAACGGATATTTGCCTTTTAAGTATTATATAAAACTAATTATTATTAAGTTCATACAAAATATTAAGTACGTAAAATAATTACGAATGATTTAGTATAATACTGTGGAACGGTTCCATAATTATTTTGTGTGGTTGCTTGGTAGCAGCTTAGGCATTTGTTTTTCAAATAAAATTCTACACTAAAATTCCTATCGAAATGAATAACATTTTCAATAACACTGAACATAAAACAGTACAAAATAAAAATGTCCCAATAAATCCAGAACTTAGAGCGCGGAAACGTGAAGAATTTATAAAAGAAAAACGAAGTCAACTTTTACGAGAAAATAATGAAGACTTACGGCAGCTGGAACGTTCACTACGTAATGCCTACATTTACAAAGAGTTGGACTTACAAAAGGCTGAGCTGGAACGTAAGAGGGAAACGGAAAAAATTTCTAAGCTTGAAGAACAAGTACGTATAAGTAAAGAGCTGAAAGAATTGAAAGAAAAACAAATAGCTGAAGAGGAAAAGATACGCTTACAAAAGGTGCAATTTCGGGACATGTTGCAACAACAAATTGCAGAAATAAATAAACGCCGATTGGACAAATATGAAGTGGCAGTGTGTGAACACGTTGAGATGCAAAAACTCATTAAAAATCTGGAAGACGAACTCTATGCTGATTCCTTAGCTCTAATGCAACAACGCGAACATGCCAAACAGGAAATGGAACTTTGGAAACAGAAAAAAGAGCATTTACAAGCTTTAGAAAATATGAGAGATAAATTAGAAAATGAAAATATAATAAGAATACAAGAACAACGCGATGCTGAGCAACGACGTCTTAGAAGTATTAGGCAGCATGCAATGGAGGAAAAACGGTTATTAGCGGACACAATTGGTCAGCAATTGCATCGTGCAGAGGTAACTTGCCAAATATAATAATTCAAACAAAACGTCAAAAAATTGATTTAATAAATCAATAGATTTTTTAATTAAAAATAAATTTTAAGAAATTAATATTTATAATCCAAGCATAACTTATCTAAACAACTAATTTGAACTAATTTGAAGACAAAAAATTAAATATATCCAATATCCTTGTAGCTAAAATGTATTAGCAGTATAGTTCTAAAAGTATTGATGGTTTAAATTTAAAAAAAACCTTTTTAATTCATTTGGAAAACTGTCGTTAAATGAAATCTAAAATGTTAATTATCTTCATTAAAATCTTTTTATCCTTTTTTAAATTAGACTGAGAAACAGCGCAGGGAAAATGTTTTACAAAATCTTTTAATTGAAGAGTGTAAAGCTGTGGAAGATTTCCGATATAGACAAAATTTAGAGAGACAAGAAAGACAACGTATGCAAGTACGAGAAGAAATTGAAAAACATAGAGCTGAACTATTGCAACAGAAATTGGATAGTCAAAAAGCGAAAGAAGAGCAAATCCGTAACGAACGTTTGAATATGTTAGCCGAACGGGATAAATTAGAACAATTATCTGATCAACGCAGAAGGCAAAAAAAATTGGAACATAAGCGTGAAGTTGAGGAAATGTTAAAAGAACTGCGGAATAGACGAACAGAGGAACAAATCAAACAAATACATGAACGTGATCTACAACTTATGATAGAACGTCAGAGGTATGTTTCAAAAAAAATAATTATTTATCAATAAAAGTTGTCATAAAATATTTTTAATTTTTATTTATAGATTGCAAGAAATTGAAGATGAACGTCAAAAAATATTACGTAAACATCCAAAGGAGATTATAAAACTCTTACCACCAAATATTTTAGGTGAAAAAGATAAAAGTTTTTTGAAAGATACTAACTAATAAGACTTTTTTTTAGCAATAATATTTTAAAAATAGTATTTTTAAGTATGTTTTGATAATTATATGATAATTACATGTTTATATATATTGTTATATATATTATTAACTGATTAATCGCACTTATAGGTTAGATAGCATCAAATTTTGTTTATTTATCATGTTTAAGTATTCAAAATGCTACATATTTTTAGTATAATCACATGTTTTTAAACCTGTGAATATTTTGATTATTTTCGTAAAATAAATGCTTATCAATTGTATTACTGAAAAACCATTGGAAATTGTTGATTATCTTATCAGTAGAGAATATATAAGGTCATTATCCATTTTTTTTATGTTGTAAGAGAGCGAGGTTCCTTATTACGTACAAACAAACGCACATTCTTGTCATTTAAGACTTGATCCTCCCTACATTTCACTGTTACTTAATATTTTAATAGCTTTTCTTTTCGTTGAAAAGTTTTTGTATTTGAGTTTTATATTCAAGCTGACACTGTACTCAAGGTACTCGAACATGGTATAAATATAACTAAAGGCCCAGTTAGACGGTAGGTAACGTAAGAAATTAATTCAAAGCGAAATGCATAACCAACCAAACCTGCGTATTTCGCTTTAAATTAATTTTTTACGTTACCTACCGTCTAACTGAGCTTTAAGGTTTGTCACAAAGTTATAGCATCTTTTTATTTTAAATTATTAATAAAGTAATAATAAAAGACTTTACATGTGCAAAGATACTTGCATTTGATACTTAAAAATGTGTCTTATTTTATGATTTTATTTAATATTAAGTTTTTATTAATAAAAATCTACTTCAATTTTCATGCGGCGTAGTATTTATTTTAGAAGCATTTATTTGTATGCGTAAACTGGCAGTGATCGCGCCATTTCGTCTAAGCTTAATAATATATGGCAAAACATTTGTTTCATTTCATTTTGTTCTCAAGTTCCATTTTCTTTGGATTTCATTTGCTTCACGTGCAGTTTTTAGCGGCACGTTTTTTAATTAATAACAAACAGTGCTTTGCAAATTTAATTGAATCAAGTGAGTTTTTAAGAAAAACATCTTATAGATGTTATTAGATCTTATAGATATTTTTTATTAAATCTTTTATTATTTTTAATAAAAATTTGTTCAGTTTTTTACTAAATATGCGTTTCTTGATATATAGTGTATATGAATAATCAAATACATTTTTTTATATTATTAATTAAATTTTATTAGTTTATTTAAAATCATAGAAAAAAAACTTGTTATTTAAAATTTGTAACAGGTCGATTGGATCGCAATTCTAAAGTTTTAGATAATTACGTGGGATATACTGAATGTGTTACATTAACAACTTGTGGTTTATATGTACTTGTGAAATATATTTAATTAAAAATCCAGTTCAATAAAATTTATTATTAGATTTTAGTGTTATTAAATATTAAAAGTATTTGCCACCACAAACACCTGTTGCTGCCAGCACGATTTAAAGGTTAAATGGTTCCAAACTTTAGACTGTGGTTTTAAATAAAATGTATAAATGTGCTGAAATAAATATTTTATATATGTTTTTCAATAATATTACTGAAACCACGGTTGCCACTTGAAAATTTTTTTCTGTACCAAAATTGGTTTAAAAAGGTACCATTTCTGTAAAAAAAGGTCCAAAATTTGTCTTCTATTGTCTTTTTTATAAGAAATACAATTTATATAAATAATGTACAAAAAGTATAAAACAATACAATATCCACAATAAAGTTGGGTCGCCGAAAATGTACCATTTTTTGAACATGAGTACCAGAGTACCAAACGGAAAAAAAAGTACCAATTTTGGTACTAAAGTACCATAAGTGGCAACCGTGACTGAAACATCTCCTTCAAATATAATTGTATAAGCTGCAGCGAAAAAGAGGAATAAATGACAATGAAACATTTTCTATATAAAAATCTAGATTTGGAAAAATTGTATATTTCATTATAGCAATCTAGCCAAGTTTATAGAATTGTTAGATTGGTTCACTTCTACATAAGTTAAGGATTCGTGTCTGTTTAATTCTACGTTATCTGCGCGCTGGCTACTGCGGTTTATCAAGGTGTTTTGATGGTCCACTTAATCAGGTGTATGAACAACATTTTTATCTGTGGTATTACAACAGGCAATTATTTCTGTTTAAGTGGGATTTGGTTGGCAAAGTTGATAATTCAAGTCAACCTATTCTAACTATGACAGTGTACGAACTAATGCGCCTTACGGAAATCGCAAGAACTGCCAAATCTACCTCAGGGAGCCACAACGGAAATCGCAAATACAAGAACAACGGTGTTTTAAAAATAATTCCCGCTGTCAACAGCACATACTGGTTAGTTAAATAGAGAAAACAATTCTTTCAATTATAATATAGTAATTACTTCTAAAATAGTTTAATTGCAATTTTAGATTAATCGTAAAGCTATTTCGGACGCATCTCAATATCCACTATCATTGAAGTTTATTTGGATATATTCAGTTTTAGTTGTTAATAAAAATACACTGAACCCATACCCTGTGGGTTTAAAAAAACTTATTCCACTGTTAGTTTTCTCTTAAAAACTTTTTAAAAGTATATCGTAATTTTCGTCATACGGGTTTTGAACTTTTCGTGTGATATAATTATTTTATTAGTAATTAAATATGATTTTTAAAGTTAATGTAACATGTATCTTTATACAAATCCCTTAAAATTTATATAAATTGAAAACAAAATATTAATTATGTTGTGTAATATTCAGGCTGATAGCCAGATATTTACTTCGATGGGTCGAAGACCGAATAATTATGGAACTGATCTGCTGAATATGCATACACTTCAAATATACATATGCCTTGGTCAAAGTTTGAAAAAGTTAGATCAATGAAAACTAATTAAAAAAATATATATTTATTTTATGGAAGGTTTAATTAGTAATTGTATGCTAAAGTATGTATAAAGATTATTTTATAGAAATCAACAGTTGTTAGCATTACATCTCTTTCAAACCACATCCAGTTTTTGCATTACATATTCATACATAATAATTGATAACTCTTAGCTGGTGTTAGGTCATGCATATAGATTAATTTTAAAATATAGTAATATTAAAATTTTTATTCACTTATCAACTCAAAAATAATCATCTTAAATTGGAAAGGTCATTGATTGCAATACTTAACACCAAAACTGCATCAACATGTTTTTGCAAAATATTTTTTATACAAATCTTAAAACAATGTGTCACCTATTTTCAGTTCAGCTTTAACCGCAGAACGACTGGTACCACAGTGAATTAGTAGAAAAGTATTATTAACAATGGCAACTAAACAAATTGGTACGTATAAAATTAAAATTAAACAAGTTTTTAAAATTTATTTAAATATATAATTTTTCAGCTCTTTTAAGCGTCTCTGACAAGACAGGATTGGTAGAACTAGGTAAAAATCTAACAGCACTTGGATATCATTTAGTAGCTAGTGGTGGTACAGCAACACTATTGCGAAACTCTCAATTAGCTGTGGAGGATGTTTCCACTGTAACAGGTGCACCTGAAATGTTAGGAGGACGTGTAAAAACCTTACACCCCGCTGTACACGCTGGCATACTAGCACGTACCACTGAAACCGATCTTGCAGACATACAAAAACAAAATTATTCTCTAGTCAGTTTGGTTGTTTGCAATTTGTATCCTTTTGTTAATACGGTGTCAAAACCCGATGTGTCCGTGGAAGATGCAGTCGAGAATATTGATATTGGTGGTGTGACATTATTACGTGCTGCTGCTAAAAATCATGCACGCGTTACGGTGATATGTGATGCTAACGATTATGGAAAAGTTGTGGATGAATTAAAACAACACGGCGATACCACATTAGAAACAAGGTAACTACCAACCACGTTTTATAAATAATAATTAAGGTCATTGTAATAAATAATATCTCGCAATAATAAAAATAATTTTGTGAATAGAAAAATGTTGGCACTCAAAGCTTTCACTCATACGGCTACATATGATGATGCCATATCTGATTATTTCCGCAAGCAGTATTCGCCCAGTGTATCTCAGCTTAATTTACGTTACGGCATGAATCCACATCAAAAACCAGCACAGCTATATACACAATTAGAGAAATTGCCACTACAAGTGCTAAATGCATCCCCTGGTTTTATCAATCTTTGTGATGCACTTAACGGTTGGCAATTGGTACGCGAATTAAAGCGTGCACTCCAACTACCGGCAGCCACTAGCTTTAAGCACGTATCACCAGCAGGTGCTGCTGTCGGCGTTCCACTGAGCAGAGAGCAGGCTAAACTTTGCATGGTCGATGATATATATGATGATTTGACACCTTTAGCCACTGCCTATGCACGTGCACGTGGTGCGGATCGTATGTCTTCATTTGGTGACTTTGTGGCTTTATCAGATGTGTGTGACGTTATAACGGCTAGAATTATAGCACGTGAAGTATCCGATGGTATAATTGCGCCAGGTTATTTACCTGAAGCTTTTGAAATTTTAAAAAAGAAAAAGAATGGCGCTTACTGTATTTTACAGGTAAATTTATTTATTTCCTTATTTCCACAATATTTGTGTTAATATGTATGTGTATTTGCAATTTTAGATGGATGCTGATTATGAGCCCAGTGCAATTGAACGTAAAACAATTTTTGGTTTGACTTTGGAACAAAAACGTAATGATGCTGTTATCGATGCAACACTGTTTGCAAATGTTGTTACCAAAAACAATAAATTATCAACAAATGCTATACGCGATTTAATTGTTGCTACAATTGCACTTAAATTCACACAAAGTAATTCTGTTTGTTATGCGCGTGATGGTCAAGTTATTGGCATTGGTGCTGGTCAGCAATCACGTATACATTGTACACGTTTGGCTGGCGAAAAAGCAGATAACTGGTGGTTGCGTCAACATCCTAGAGTAGCAGGTATGAAATTTAAAACTGGCGTGAAACGTGCAGAAATCTCGAATGCTATTGATAACTATGTAAATGGTACAGTTGGCAAGGATATGCCGATTACACAATTCGAAGCTATGTAAGATATTTGTTGTTAATTTTTCTTTATATATACTTATTTAAATTTAAAATAATGAAAGGTTCGATGTTGTACCAGCACCTTTAACAAATGAAGAAAAATTAGAATGGTTGAAAAAATTAGATGGTGTTGCTTTGGGTTCAGATGCATTCTTTCCTTTCAGAGACAATATTGATCGCGCTAGATTGGTTTGTATTACATATTCTATGATATTTTATATGTACTCTTATTTATTTATCTTATTTTAGAGTGGTGTTTCATATATTGCCAGTCCTTCTGGATCTACAAATGATGCTGGCGTAATTGCGGCTTGTGATGAACATGGCATTATAATGGCACACACTAATTTACGCTTATTCCATCATTAATGATCCAAATTAATGTTTGCTAAATTTTTCAATTAAGCATAAAAAAATGACAAATAACTTGAATTAGATTTAATTTTAATAGATTTAGAACTTTGAAAACATTTGCATTTTATAGTAATTGTTAATAGAAGCATTGTGAAAATAGAGTTTATAAAACAATACACTTATATTAAGCTAAATTAAATTTGGTGAACTAAAAATAATTGAATATATCTTAAACTATTTAATTGGAAAGATTCTACAAAAATTATACTATTTTTAAACGTGGATAATGATTATATTATCAATAAAAATCGTTAACTGAGTTCATATGCTGTTTTGATTTGATTTATCAGGAAACCATGCTATGACTTTGGATCTTTCGGACAATGAATCTTGCCGTACCCTTGTCATTGACATACGGATTATCTTTTTGTATTTTAGATTTTCTGATAATAGATATCTACTGCAGACATTTATCGTATATACAAAGGTGTGAATTACCAAAGCCATTGTACCTAGACAGACGAATATTTGGTTCTCATAATCAAATTCTGTGTACCAGAATATATGATCATCGAATTTTCAACTTAACTGTTTCCTGATCTATGATAGATTATATAAGTAGATTTGCAAAGCAATCACATTGGGTCATTCAACTTAATTCCTTGTTTCTTAAGGCAACTGAATTATCTCGAGTAAAACAAATTTTGTATAATAAACGGGATTTAGTAATACTATAAACCAGTATTATAAATCAATATATTTATATCAAAAAGATAATAAATAATTTATCCCAGCAAGTTATTTATATTATTAACATCAGAACATATTCTATGCAACTGCCCAGCGGTGGCAAGACGTAGACTCGATTACCTTGGAAGCGGGATATTAGTCCCAAGTCAAATAGGTAAAATTAAGCCCACAGCAATCACAAGATTTATAAATAGTCTAAAATTGTCCTAGTTGGGCCTTTAGGTGCTTTAATAGCCTATTACTTAAATAATAATATTTATATTATATAAAAAATAATTCGGTCAAAACAGTTCTGTATGGTTTTGTAAAATCACTATTGGTCTATTTCCGACTTAAAAATTAAAATTTTTAAATTCAGAGGTAACAGATTTACTAGCAGAAATCGGCTAATCAATGAGACAGTGTCTTATTTTAGTTTTAATAAATATTATTTGTGCGATTAAAAAAAGTTGGAGAATCTCCGGAACAAATAAATCGATCTAAAAGGACTATGTTAAGAAATAAAAGTGAAGTGATTAGAGAAATATTTGGTTTACTATATTTTTCTCACAGCGTAGTGATTTACCCTTTTATTGTTAGTTTTTTTTAGTTACTTCTTAGTGTGTTTGTATATACCATAAGTGATCTCACTTATATGAGTGATAAGATATATATCTTATATAGTAAATTTTAACAATAAGGCGTTTAATATTAAGTAAATTAAATTTAAATTTGGTTGTAGTTGTAAAATTTTATTAAAATTTTATTTTATATTTTTACAATTAGTTTTAGTTCTAAAGATATTATTATCCTTTAATCTATATAATGTTTTGTGTCAAATTTAAATAATTTCTCATTAAAAATAATTTTTTTTTCCATACGTAACAAGTTCATATTAATCCTAAGGAATTATAAAATAAATCAATTGAATTTAATTTTAAATGCATTTTTAAAATGTGCAACTCATCTATAAACTATGGAAGTCAAAATAAAATATTTAAACAAATTATTAATAATAAAATTAATAAATTAGGAGTACATCAAATGGCACCAATCGGTGCAACAGTTATTACAGGTCGGCATCTTGCCAACTTATTTACTATGTAAAAATATTTACTTTTAAATATTTTTATAATATTCTTTTTCTAAATAAAAAACAATATAAAATATTTAATAAGTATTTGTTTAACTAACTATCCATAAATGAATTTAAATGCTTTAAATGCGTTTCTGTTTCTTTCGAAATGTTCTGCTACAATTGCACACGAAAACCAAGAAAGTTGCCACAAAGAGTATAACCGAACCCAGTACTAAAGCCAATGTCGTTGTCTGATCATATGTGGGTGTTGGATCTAAAATGTGTTGATTAGGTAGTAACAGGAAATCTGTTAGAACTGCTGCACCGTCAGGTGGCGGGCATGTCTGCTGCACGATAATCTCTTGATGTTGTACCTAAAAATAATAAAAAGAATATATAATGATGGACTGTAGTTATTTGTAATTTCTTCCAAATTATTTACTTGTTTATTGCGACAAAGCTGCAAATTTCCAGAATTCGATAGAGTATCATAGCTGTACTCATCTTGTACCAACACAGGTAGTAACCATTTCTCTGGTGATATAAGTTGTGACCAAGACCATAGTTTTGAAAGATTACGGGGATGCACTGAATAGCCACCGACAGCTGTTAGTCCCAGCGTGATTAGAGCATTGAACACTATAGCTGACGTTTTGGTGGGCATTAAGTGTGCACAGAAGAGGGCAAGTGTTTGTATTAATGTTAGAAATAGCAACATGTAACCTGAGAAAGATAATTTGGAATAAATTTTTATTTAAATATATTTTGAACTTACCCATATATAGATATATGCCTGTATCACTAGTCTTTGAATAAGTGTAAAGACCTGCCATACTGTGTGCTGGCAGTAAATAAGCCAACCAAATGCATAAGCTTGGGAAAAGTCCCAGAATACTCTATGAATTTATTATTTTTAATTAAGTTTTTTATACTAAAAATTTGAACTTATGCATTACCTGTACTATTATGTAAAGAGTTCTCGAGTATAATCCCAATCGTATATCTCGTTCTGCATGTTTTCGATCCTCTTGTGCTACGCGTATTGTTAGCATGACTAATGGCCAATAAGCCAAAGCTATGACACAGTGATGATAACCAAGGCGATCGTTATAGGTTAGTTGTGGATCTGAAGCTGGTACATCCCAAAATATGCAACCAATACAAAGCGATAATAGCGCTGCTGCTATTAGTTTACTTATCCATGTTAATAATGAGCCCGGTTGTTTATATGATGTGAATCGTTTGATAAGTGCTTTAGTTTGGCCTAGTACACCAGCTTTTCTGGTGAAATTTGTTAAAGATGCTGGTGGAGCTGCTAGAGGAGGTTCTGAATTTATTTGATCCCAATTGTTTGCGAGTGTTTCTATTCGAGCTGATGACTCCAGCATGGCAGCAGCCGATAAGTCATCTAATGTTACTAGATCCACTATTTATAGTATATATGATATATAAAAAATAAAAAAAATTAAAAATATAAACAAAAAATAAATTACAAATAGCGGATCAGTTCAAAAAAAAATTATATATAAGCGTATATAATAATATAAAAAGTCATTTGTGTTCTAAAGTTCGGAAGTTCGTAGAACTAGCCTAACATTTCATCTCTCTACTTTTTATTTAACTTCTTAACACTATTTTATTTATGTGTTTAGAATCCGGAATACATATAAAATAGATGCGTATTTTACTAATAACTACTTTCAGAATTATTTTATTTAAATTTTTTTTCGTAAAATAAAATAAAATATATATTTTTCTTACAATAATAATCAGCCGGGTTTTTGAATGGTGGGCAAGGATATCCTAATTCGCCCATATGTCTTGGCAAATCCGATCGACTACCCGAGAAAACTGTTCTTCCGCCAGACAGCAATAATACACCCGAGCACATAGAAAGTATTTCAAATGTAGGTGGTTGTAATGTCATTATAACAATACGTCCACCATTGCACCATTGCCGTAAGTATTCCACTAAGAAAAATGTATCAAAAATGTCCATATTACTAGTAACTTGATCTAGTATTAGGATCGATGACTGTGCTAATAACTGACAAGCCACACTTAAACGTTGCTTCTCAGAATGCGTTAGAGAGGAAACATTTGATGCACGTACTGTAGTAAGACCTAAGTCTTCAATAAGAACATCCATCTAAAAATAATGACAAAATTTAGAACTCTTTACACTAGCATTTCTATGTTTTATTTCAGGACATACCCTTTCTTCCAAATCATTACGATTTAAAGGACCTCTTAGAGCACAATGAAAGTTAAGAGTACACTGCACGCTCATACGGGGATCTAATGAAGATACATTTAAAGCCGGTACATAACTGCATAATTCTCGAAGACCACGCTTATTAATTTGTTGACCATTGATAAGTATTTCACCACCCATGCGTTCTCGTAGACCTGCCAAACATTCTGTAAGTGCAGTGCCTTCACGTTGTGATGTTGCCATAATAGCAAACAAATCGCCTGCTTTTGCCTGTAGCGAAACGCCACGCAAACATGGATTGACATCCAAACAATGAACTTGTATATTGGGATAGACTAAACCTATGCTAGATTGTTTTCTAGTCGTTATACCGTAATTCGAATGATGTCCACCATTCGGATGATCTGAAGTACGATGACGTGTACCATAAATTCGTGATTCACCATAATCATAGCTAATACCATCATTGCCACCGGAAAGTAAATCCGCTTCGCTGTGTGAACGATGGCCATAGTGTTTGCCGTTAGGTATGTAGTGATGATTATTGGCATGTGTGCCCACTAAATAGAAAGTTTATCAAAACAATTTATAATATATTATATGCCCAATACTAATGTTACCTGCTATGCTAGCACGACTATTTGCTTGTCTTAAAGCAGCAATCGGTACACCTTGTGCTCGAGAGTCAGGTCGTGAACTTGGCATGCCACCAATGTTACGAAAATCAGATTCGCTGCGATATTTTCTTATGGAAAAGTTTAAAATGAAGACAGAAAATATAGATATTATGTTTGATATACCTTAAATTGGGAGGCACACGACTGCGTGTTGTTTCGTTGTCACTGCTGTCATAACCAGAGGAACCTGCTGCTGGACCACCTGAACTATCACGAAAACCACGATTTATACGTCCACGCGCATTACCTGGTCCTGGACCTGCACGATGTGAACGCTGTGAACCTGCATTTGGCGGAAAAACACGTGGCAGGCCAAATTTTAAATATGTATACATATTAGACCCCAATGGTGATCTATAGTAAGTTATAAATCATTAATTTGTATGATGATAATGATGATTATTTTTTACTTACTTTGGCCCATAACGTGGGTGATTTAATATTGATTGCACTGTTGTATCGCGTAATTGGAAATTTCCATATGGCAGCGGTGATTTGTCTGATGAACCCAATGCTGAGTCAGTAAAGTCTGAGTTCAAATTTTGTCTAT